TGATAATACTGCTTGTTTTTCAGTGAGAGTGTGTGATTAAAGCGAGCGGATGGTAGTAAGAGAGGAAATAAATGTATACTCGAAGTGTGAAATGATGTTAGGGAGAAAAAATGGTAGTGCAAATGAGAAGGCATGATAGGGTGGGAGAGAGAGAGAGGGAGAGGAAGGAGGGAGGCAGAGAGTGCGAGAGAGAATTTAGATGTACGATATGCATGCGTGAAACATTTTAACAAACGATAAAAATTTGGTTGAGACAAACAGGCTTTATTTCGCCTGATTCGAAAACGAGCGAGTGACGCGCAAATTTGTGGCTATAGTTCATTTGTAAATCATTTTTTTGTCAAAAGTATACATTTTTCTGAAAGCATAATATGTTGGGTATTCTTTCTGTGTGTATAAAATGTAAACACCTACCAAACCCAAAATGAAATCAATGTTTCTAACTTATTTATAATAAATAATATACATTAATGATAAAAATAAATGCAGTTTGTGACAGTAATATTGATATATGATACAGCATTTATCCTGTATATTTATCTCAAAAAATGGTAATCCTTGAATGTAGCAATAATCCTTGATCCTATTCATTTTATCTTATAGAGAATTATGTTTAATTATGTATATAATAAAAAAACAAAAATTCTTTATCTTAAGTTATACTTTGTTTTCATTGTGTAAGAACTGTTACTTTTTATAGAAGAAATATATTTTCCTTTAATAATATATTGTGAAATTTTTCTTACCGCTGTTACGTAAACTCGTCATAACGCACATCAAATGAATTATTAATTGAGAATTATAATTGTATTTATTTGACACGTGTACTTTCTATGTTTTTCTGTTAAAATAAATTATTATATCCCGTTTCCTTTTTTTTTTGGTTTTTGAAAAATTGCTTCAACGTAACAAGCTTTATAAAAAAGGAAATATTTAAATTATTTATCTCGTTAAATGTTTTATCTTGAATTTGTATCGGTTATTCATTGGATGAATGTGTACATTTATTAACAGCAACTACAATTCATTGTTCATTTTAATTTATATTACATAAGTGACTTAAAATTGGGTGTTCAATAAAATAGTACAATGTACATCTTAATTACCATGTTTATAATAAAATGAAATAAATTTTCGTAATAAAAATATGTTTCAAGTATTTACTGTTTCCACATAAAAAACAATTAACAAGCGTGCTTATTCCTTGCTGTATAATATCTTACTTAAATAGAACCGTATTATGCGTGATTTACTTAATAAAAAATTGTAGCTGGCATACAGAAATATAATCGTACAACGTAAACCAATGAGGAAGTGGGCCACCTGGTGGCGCGTTTCCAAACATCGCGCCATTTTATTAAGGCGAAAATGTCGTCATTGGGAAAAGTATGTCTGGCTGGTGCGGTGAGGAGAAAGCGCGCGCGCGCGCAACGTGTATGATCGCGGTATCGTTTCTGCAAGTATAGTCCTGCGGAGGGATCATCGAAAGGACTACACCCCTAAAGTAGAGAGAGTCGAGCTTCGTTACACGGATCGACTAGTATAGTGAATAAAGACACGTAACAGGAAAAATGAGTCTTCTGTTGGAAGAGGAAGAAATTGATGAGTGAGTATTTCTGTCAGTTTCAATTATATTTTCTACGTTTAAGTCTGACCCCACGACTTTTCCTCCCTATAACCGTAATTCCAAAAAAAAGGCTTGGCTTTATTCATAGTCCATTTTCATAATGTGACTACGATTTCTTTCTTCGCGAACGTTTACATTTAAACAAACCCTATCGATGAGAACTGTTTTTCACAATCAAATTTAAGTTTCGAATGTTTCGCGTGATTATTATTAACATTTCCTAAGAACCTTTGCGAGATCAGTATAGAAGCTACAAGTGTACGCAGTTACATGTGATTTTGACGTCGTATTCTTTCTCGAAACATTGATTTAGGGAAAACGCAACAGACATTCTTCTTAAAAGCTAACTATGCTTTAATTCACTATATCATCCTATTCTTTTATATCTGAAGTGTAAAATATATTTTTTTAATGGTAAAAAACATCGAGACTTAAAAATATCAATCGATCACATGGGATTCTTAGCAACACAACGTTCCAATAATATTAATAGTACTTGTTGAGTTTTCCGTGTCTCTGGCTAAACAGTACAGCCCTTCTGTAAACTTTTTCTCGATTTTTATACAAGTTTGTTATACTTCAGCATATACTTACAGTAAAAGAAAGAGAAATAAACTTGTGCAATGTTGAATTTGTAAGAAATATAATATTCAAAGTAATGATGTATTTATTTGTTTGAATGGAACATATTGTTGAAATTAAACTACATATTTATAAGTAATGAAATGTTCAAACGTGTACGATATACATGAGAAGTATAGAAAACAATTCTATAATACATATTGCGTGTCACATATAAATCAATGTAAACCTACTGGAATGTTGCTAAAAGGAAATATTACTTAATGAATTTCATTTTTTGTATATCAATATAATGCGGATTAAAGCGAAAATAAGTGAAACACGTGAATTCGTTTACCCCAGGTATCATTCGTCTGCAACGAAACGGCCGATCGATGATATAACCACGTATTGTGTTCTGTGCGTGTATTATGTTCTGTTTTCTCGAATTACTCAGCCACGTATTTTTCCGTATAGCAAGAACAAGAAGATAATGCGAATCCTCTAATTGATTAAGCGGTAGTTAAATAATTCGGTCGTTATCGAGTTCCAATCGATTTACCTTGAAATTCAAGGTGCTTTTTATTATTGGGTTACTAAATGACGAACATCCGGTGCATCATGTGACCAACAGAGAATGAAATTACACTTTTGGCACTTTCGACGGTACACTTAACTTTCGGTATCGTTACTATTATTGATATCGTTAGGTATTATCTAATCTTTTCGAATATTAATTATCCGAAAGTAAAACACAAACCAGGGTGTTATCAACTATTGATAAGAAGTTATGATTCTAAATTGAATCAATGTAATTGTTTAAGGTGTTTATCGTATTTTTCATTGAGCTGTATATTTGCATTAACGTCGGGCACACGGACAAGATAATTTGCTATTTAAACTCTCTGCTTCCGAAAATGCTAGTTAATAATTTTTTATACGTCAATGTTATATTTCGTTAAAAGTGTACTATACTGTAAGTCGCGTTTGTTTTAGGCTTTCTTTACCATTTTTTTTTTTTTTACAGTGAATGTAAATAGTATTTGTACACCCTATAAAGCGGAATAACTTTTTTAAAATTGGGCCAAACGACTTGAGTTTTTTTGAGAAGTTAAAAAGATAAGTTCCTTTTCCTAATTTTCATTTTCAAATTAAAATTTTACTGAGGTTGTTAAACGAATTAGTACGTACTTTTTTAGGTTACGTTTGCCTTCGTACAATATATTGTATGGTCGACAAAAAACGCTAATTGACATACATGTGAATAAAAAAATACAAGGTTCCGTTTAAAAAACATTAACTTGACTTTGAAATATCTTCTCCACTGCTACACTTACAGAAAAATTATTCATGCCACATAATGTGCCCCTTTATACCAGACAACTTTTGTACGAACAGTTTTTTGATAGCTTCAAAAAAGCTAGATAAACGTAACACTCTGTATGTGCACAAAATGGCTACGTTTGTTTGACGCTATTCCATACAGTGCAATTGCATACACATGTAAAATTATAAAATTATAATATTTTGTACAATTCGTCTACTTTCAGTTATTTTCATTCTTGCTACCAGTGTATAATTAGAACGAAATTCGAATTGTAGAGAAATTATTATAAACTTTGTGTTTTAAAAATAGAACATTATCTTAACATTTGAGGAACTTTAAATCATAAAATGTATAGTATTAAACATTACGCAAAGAGTTGTTCGATTTCTTATCGGACTGCAATGTTTTTAAACGCAAGGAATTATTATGTAAGAAATTACTGTCATAGATTTTGATTTTATTCGAGATTTTATCAATTTTCGTTATAAAGTGCAATTTACCAATTTAAACGATTCAACACTTCACTGTAAGTAAAAAAGTGAATTTTAATATTTTTTTCGAGACACTCGAAGTATATAGATAAAGTATGTGCTAAAAATAAAAGAAGGTTACATGTTTTAATACGACGCAGGAGCTGTAGGTAACGCGTGTATCGAGCTTGTATGATTCAGCGTGATGTACACCGCTTTATTCGGAAATTTTCAGTTACGTAAAGGACCTTGTTCACGGTCCATAAAGAGTTGTTCAAACACGGATTATCTTCTGCTTTCGTGGATTTAT